AGTATGAATCCAAGCTTGGCATACATCGAGGCTTACAGGACACGTCTGCACCTCTAAGCCTGCCTTCTGCCTTTCAACACTGCAGACCTGCCAGGCTTTGACAGGCGTATTTCACCCACAAAATACATAGTCACAACATTTTACAGTAGTGTGAAGCACTTTGAGACATTTCAAAGATGTGATAAGGCACTATGTCAAATGCAAGGATTATTATTATTTTCTCAAAGCCAGTTCAGTTCCAAAGAGACTCTGCCTGCTTAATTCCTTCAGGAAGGAGGATGTATATATATATTTAAGACTTAAGCATCAAAAAACACGATGTATGCCAAGCTTGGATTCATACTGGATTTACAAATATTCAGTCCTGTCCATGAATGGCTATGCAATACCACGACCCATGGAAAATGTGCCCCTTTGTCAATGGAAGTGACTCTAAGAGGAATTGTGTGTGTTGTGGGGAGTGATTGGGACCGTGTCAACAAGTTAGTCATGTCTGAGACTTGGCAGAGGCTGCAAAGGTAAATGCTCTGCCCTCTGTGTTTTCCCCCTTATGCAAATCTTTAACAATTAATAGGACTAACAATTTCTACATAGTAACATATATTCATATCTCTTCATGTTTCATTCAGTTTGAACGCTGATGATCCCATCTAAATACCTGCAGCTTTAGAGCTTGAGGGGCCCCAAATCCATCGGTGCTTCAGAAAGCATTAAGTTACCCACCTGATGCGTGCACTGACAGTGATATTGAGATTTAATTCCTTCAAAGCTTCACATCAGACATTTATATTAGCCTACAGGAAACACGGTCCCAAACTAATCTGAGGGGAAGGTGGGGTTTTACTATGGGAGAAGTAATTTGCTTGGATTGGATTTCAATCATTTTCAGGCAGGGCAATTTGCTGCAGTTTTGGAATAGTTTCAGAACCAGTGTCATTTCCCATCACTCATAAAAATTTCGGTATAAAAAGCGAATGAGTGTATGGAGCAAAGCACACTTCAAGTGATTGGTGCATCTGAGGACATGCTGTGCAGTTGATGGGTCCATTCGAAACAATATTTCAGAACAACAGGCATATCGTTTGTACAAAAATACATAATTACAGCATGAAAATCCCTTCCAGCATAAAGCATAAAGACATATCTAACTTGAGGAAGTGACTGTACAACTTCTGCTTGTCAAACAGATTCAAACTTTGAAATGTCAATGAAACAAATCTTTTCTCCATTTCACAGGGTTTTCAGGCTGGTTAATGCTGAGTTTTGTTCACAACACTGTGACTGATGGAGGCTTTGTCTTCGGGAGCAGTGTTGCAATATGAACAGTGTTGTGTGGTTGATAATTGATAGGCATCCCACCATCTTCTGAGGTGGATCTTCATTCCGTTTTCACCAGTAACAGCACTAGGCACAACAAGGCAAATGCGTATAATAATAATAATAATAATAATAATCGTTGCATTTGATATAGTGCCTTATCATGCCATTGAGACATCTCAAAGCGCTTCACAGAATATACTGTAAAGTGAATTGACTATATGTTTTGTGGGTGAAACGCGGCAGCCAATTGCGCACAATAGTGTCCCCACAAACAGTTGTGGATTGAGTGACCAAATTATTTATTTTTTGGAAGGGATTAATACCCTAGCTATTGTCAGCAGGGCAGTGCGGACCAAACTATAAAGAATTACACAATAATTGTTTATGTTTGTTCCAGGACTTGGTGCCTGGAGTGTCCTTTGTTCCATACACTCCTGTTAGTCACTATTTATTGTTTGTTGTTTTTTAGTTTTCTAATTACAGGGTACAATAAAAATGTCTAGAAACACACACACACATGCACATGTATACACCCACCGTTCCCTAGCCACCAGTAGAAGAGTTTTATTAGCAATTAGCGGTTTATTTGCAATTAGGATGCCTCTTCCCTTACTGTGGAACCAATGCCGCAGTGCAATTTACATGTACAAACATTTTGCAGCGTTTCTATGCCCATTTTCAAAAAAAATTATGAAAGCAGTAACATTGTGTGCAGGGTCCTTGATGATGTGTTATTATAATGGGTAAATCCCATCAGCTGTCAACATTGCCAAAGGCACTACATGAATGGTGACTGAAATTTCAGCCCACTTGCGATTAAGTGCTAGTGTAATTGCTGCACTGTGGGAACTGTTGGGTTGGGACTATGATTTTTCGCTACCGATTTCACCACTTTGCCGGTAAAACTGCATAAATTATTTTAGAGGTAGGAATGTGAATCCATGCAGCTTTGTACTGTAAATCGGATACTGGAATTGGGTGCCTTCGATTGAACTGTTTGTTACCACCTGTGTGTCCTGTTCACTTCGGTAATTTGTAACTTAATCTTTCATCGGTTTCCATGTCACATCTGCTTTAAAAATGATAGGATCTAAAATAAATGCTTGCTAATGGAAAATGACTGCACTAAAATTCCTGTTTGAGCGATAGTAGAAGATGAAAGTATTCTGTGATTTGATGGTGGTCTGTTTCAATACTTGGATTAAGGAACCAGCTTTGAAGATGTACATCAGATGCCTGCTTGATTGGCCTTTCTTATTCACATTAATTTAAAGCATGCAGAATAAATGTAATTTCTTCCAAAGATGATATTTAGCTACTGGGCTACCAAGAGGATTTTCACAAATCATCTCAACAACTGCTGCAAACTGGTGCAATTGTTGCACTCAGTGCTGGTGTGTGAAGAGGTTGAACCTTGTGAACACGGATTAGAATATGACTGAAAGCTTATAATTTAAGAGTAGTCAGTCAGACATTGTCACCACTGTACCATCAACATATTCACAACTTTCTGCTTCACGCATTATAGATACATAGAAAGGGAAGAGCACACCACCGACTCATCAAATCCACTCCCGCATTCTGCCTTATGCCCAGCGTAAACATTCTAACTACACTTCTCTCTCTGATGTTGACCATTTAATCCCCTCATATACGGAAGGGGGGAATGGGGAGGAATAGGCCTTTCCTGTGTCATTTTCCAATGACTTGGTTTTAACTTTCATATGAAAGTTGGATATCACGCGGATGACGGGGTTGATGGTGATCATTAATTTTAAAGCTCTTCTGTTGTGTCAATAGTCTGGGCAAGCTGTAGTTTTGAGCTGAACATATTGCTTTTAGTTGAAGGTGGTTATTCGAGGACAACTCATTTCAGTCAGTTTTACGGCTGCCATGATTTAGGCACTTTTAGTCTGTCTCAATGTTTTATTTACTTGTATCTACTCGATTTACACCTCCCCTGCAGTGGGCTATGTGTGCTAGTTTGATCTAATGAAAATACTAGTTGCAAAGAATAAACCTGCACTACCTGCAATGTTCAATGTACATTACTTGCAATTAGTTGTTATTTTCTTCCTCTTTGTAATGCTCCGATTTCCTCCTTTGTGATTTTGACTGGATATTGCACCTTCACTGTAGTTGTTCAAACTGAGCAAGAATTTAATTTAAAAGAATACATTTATGGATTCCAAAGGTGATTCCTATTGCCGTACCCAAGAAGCTGTCTGTGTAGAAATTCCTATTACTCTGTGCATTGCAGCCAGAATTGTTTTTGGTCAGGCCCAGTGTCTGACACATGCAGAAGCTCATCATCATGACTAAGAGTAATGGGCAAGTTTCCTTACTCCACACGCCTAATAATAATCCCTCCAAAAAACCAAAAACAATAATTAAATTGGTCATTTTCAATCTACGACTGTTTGTGGGACATTGCTGTGCGCAATTGGCTGCCGCGTTCGTCCACAAATATACAGACAATTCACTTTACAGTGTGTTCTGTGAAGCGCTTTGGGACATCCTCCCGACGTGAAAAGCGCTATATCAAATGCAAGGATTATTATTATTATTATTATCCAAACCAGACTACCAAGTTCCACATATGTATGCTACCAGCACATTGGAAATTTCCCTGTGTCTGGAATGGAGTGCACACTTTCTCCAAAGAGGGATGCAACCTGCTTACGTCATTCCATGGAATATTAGAGGGCAATTTGATAAGAGTCAACAACAACAACAAATGACATTTGTATAGCGCTTTCACATCAGGAAGACGTACCAAGGCACTGGACAGTCAGGGATTTAGACCAGAGCAGGGGGTTGGGATCAGGAGGGGTGGAGGGCAAGGAGGATAGCAGTAGGAGAGTGGTCGAAGGTGCAGTCGAAGAGGAGGGTCTTAAGAGGCAAGGGACGGAGCAAGTGAAGGAACTATGGGATTGTAGACCCAAAGGATGGGGGCAGAGAGGCTGAAGGCCCGACCGCTGATGGTGTAGCAGGCCAGGCAGGGGACGTGGAGCATGCCAGAGTCTGCTTAGCAGAGGAAGCGGATAGGTTGATATGGGGTTAGCAGGTCACCGAGGTAGGAAGAAGCAATCGTGAAGGGTCTTGAAGGACGAGGATTTTGAACTCTATCCTCTGGGGGATGGGGAGCCAGTGGAGCCGGGCGAGGGTAGGGTGATAGGGTCGAGGCTTGGGGACCCAAGGATGTGTGTGATGGAGTATTGTTGTAGTTCACAAAATGCATGGATTGCTGTTGAGAGCACTCCCTGGCAAGCTTCCCACTGAATGTCCAGCAAAGACCATCCTATTCATGAGGGTTTGGCCTGAGCAGGTTAACGTGAGCCGAGTGGGAAGAATTCCTGCCCCTTCAAGTGCTGTGAATGAGCCAGGCTGGCTGAGCGGGCATTAGCATTGCCCTGGAGTACTGTGGACCTGCCTGGCTCAGGAACTGGACTACTAAAATCATTACAGAGGGTTGATTCTATTTTGGCATTCCATCGTCAGGCAAATCACTTTAAAGACAGCTCAGCTCCATGGAGATCCTGCTCAGCTCCTCCCCAAGCCACAATATAATTTACAATATTTAAAGATACTTTGATTGTGACATGTCAGCTTAAAGTTAGGTGCAGACAGAAATAACTGCGAGGCAACCAACTAATCCATTTTTTTTAATTCCTTTACAGACCTACATAGGTTCCATTCTAGCATCGGTGAATCCTTACAAGCCCATTCGAGGACTCTATGATAAAGTCGCTATGGAACAGTACAGCAAGTACCACCTGGGTGAAATATCTCCTCACATCTTTGCCATTGCTAATGAGTGTTATCGCTGCCTATGGAAACGCCACGACAATCAATGTGTTCTTATCAGGTAAAGTGTTTCAATAATTGATGAGATCATCTTTTGATGCCATTCCTATTTAAATAGTTCCCCTGAGGGTAAAGGGTTTACTGTGCAGAACAATTTTGTGAATTTATGAGTATTGTGAAAAATGCATCTCTCTGATGTAGTGTAGAAGCAGAAGGCCTTTGTGACAGCTATACTCTTAGTAGAACATTTATGAAATATAAATGTATTCCATTCGATAATGTGAGCTTTCAATTACTATAATGTCATCCCAAGAGCTTTTCTTTTCTGTGGAGAGTCATGCTGCTGTGCATAAGAGAAAATAATGCATTTATGGTACAGCGATCATTTTCACAAATGAGTCATTTTCTAATGAGGATGCTTAGGTGACACTATAATAGCGTGAAAGCAAAGCTAGAAGCGATTTAAAAAGGTCATCAGAACCCCTATATTGGAGGAGTACCTTCAAATCCTTCCTCGGTATCGGCTCTGGAGTATAATGTATACTCTTTCCACTTTGCACTTAAGTTTCATTCTGCTACTTCGCTGTGCCAGCCTTCCTTCTCCGTGGCAGAAGTTGGGGGTTTAAATGCCACATCAGGACTTTGAACTTGTAGTCTAGCTTGACAGTGCAGCGCTTCGAATGAGATGATAAACCAAGGTCCCATCGATTTTCAGGTGAACATTTAAAGACCCCATAAATCTATTTGAAAAGAGACATTTTTGGGAGGGGGACCTTATTTAAGAAATACTCATTCATTTGATCCGTTGTAAAAATATGTTTCCTTTTGAATTCTAGTTATTTAGATGAAGATTAACTTTACAATATGACACATGGTACTAATGTAGTCTTTAAGTGTTCTGAGATGCTATCCCACATGAAGGGCACAATTTAAATGCAAGATGTTGCTGTTGTAATATGCTACTGTTTATCCTGGAAGGATGTCAGTGGATGCTATGATGCAGTTGGTGCTGGTGTTATATTCTGTGACAATTTTGAACCCCAACACCAATGCTGCTTTTATAATACAAGTTTGCCTCCAGAAACCAACCTACCTCAGGTTAAGGATTGCAAAGAACAACTTTAGGGCAAACACTTAGAAGTATTTCTTTATCCAAAGGATAGTTAATTACTGGAGCAGGTTTTCAGAAAGAATGGTTGAGGTCAGAATGCTGGATTCATTTAAGAAGTAACTTGATGCTGGGATGGGGGAACATTAAGGTAGGTGTTCTGGAAGAGATGAGTCCAAAAGGCTTTCTTCAAGTGGCTTTCTTCATCTGGAATCTCATGTATTCTTGTGAGAAAGGTTGAGATAAACTTTTTTGATATTCCCCCGGGCTCTATTACTGTTATTTACCCTATTATTACTCTATTATTGTTATTGCTGTTATATAAAATGGTTCATACATGCACAACAATCTGGATGTCTACATATTCCTGGCACAGCAAAATGTTGGGCAAGTTTCCTTGCTCCACACACCTCTGTTTACCGAGCAGTAAGTAGGAACCCAGTTGTTAATCGATTTGTGAATCGCTTTTCCAGGGGTAATAATTCCTTAAAAAAAATTATAACTTGGTCACTCAAACGATGACTGTTTGTGGGACACTGCTGAAGGCAATTGGCTGCCGCGTTTCACCCACAAAAAATGTACAGTCAATTCACTTTCCAGTATATTCTGTGAAGCACTTTGAGACGTCTCGAAGATGTGATAAGGTGCTATATCAAATGCAAGGATTATTATATTTGCACATACTTTAGAAAAATTGTCACAAGTGTGAATCTTGCTCAAGACCCCTGAAGTTTTTTGGTTTTGGGCTTATTGTTGTTATCAACTAATTGAACACAGCTGAGCCACCAACCCAGGGATCCTCTCTCTCTGTGGGAGAGTTGTCAATGTCATTTATTTTTATGGATTTGAGAGTCGCGTGCATCCTCATATGCCATTAATATGTTGCAGAAAGTTCTGTTGATCACACGAATAAAGCACAAGCTGATTTTGAATATTGCAGATACTATATAAAAGGAAGTTATGTCAGGCAAAGTTCATATAATGTATTGTAACCTATCACTCAAATCTCTGATAGGAAATGATAGCCTTGAAAAAATATCCACTGTAACTATTCTGTTTCATAATTTAAATCACTATGCAAAGTTCATGGAGCTAGTTCCATTGTGTCTGGAGTTGAGTCACCGATTGGTATGGTATATCTCAGTACATTTGATGAAAGATTAATGATTGTGGTGTAATCCATGCAAGTTCATTGAATGAACATCTATTCCTAGGAAATAAAAGGGCAGTTCAAATACCCCACTCACAGAACCAGTTATGTATTGGTGCCATGCTCAATAGACCATTGTGTGCGTCTGGAGAGCAGGATAAGAGTCTGATCATATCAGTCTTGTTGTGTCATAACATACCTTATGACAGTCAGATATAGGTATTGAGTAAGATTGTCAGGAAATTACTGCCATTGACAGAAGAGTTGAGGGCCTAATTTGTGGAACAAGCAGCATACATAAGTGTTCTTCAGCCTTAAGAAGGGACTTTTCTAAGTGGGACCTTTTATGGAAGTATGTAAGATACTAACACATAACAATACTTTTGAGATATACAAAGGTAGCAACAGAAGGGGATGCAAACTCAGGTTTATGATGGAAAAATTTTAACATAGACACCAGGAAAAAAAAATCTTTTTTTACAGAAATGAATGAAAAGGTGGAATGGATTACCAGGAAGAGAGGCAATGGCCAGAATAGTGGCGGGGATTGGAATCCACTTTGATTGGTTTGCAGAGAGGTAAGCGGCTGCTTCTCAAGCTCCGCACCTCTAACTGCTTGAGCCATTGAGTTCAGTGGGAAGGGATGCTTGTCCGTCATGTGGGCAGGAGGATGGTGGCAATGCTCTCACACATTTCATGCAGAGTTCTACAATGCATCAGAAAGCTCACAGAGAATTCCTGGTACCTGCCATCCATCTAGTGAGGGTTCAAACCTGTGTTTGTCAGATGCTAATTCGTGACTGATCTCCTTGGGGGGAGGTAGTCATGGTCTCTTTGAGACTGAGATAATTCCAAGTTGACGTGCTTGACAATGGAATGTCACAATCGAGACCTCTGTGGCAGTGTCGGTCATCCAGTTCCTGGTCCAGGCGGGTCCGCAGTACTCTAGGGCACTGCTGATGACAGTCCAGTTAGCCTGGCTTATCAGCAGGATTTGGAAGGGCAAGAATTCTTTCCACTTAGTTCCTGTTAATCCTACAAGCCAAAGTCTAACTCATAATCATTTCAGGGCTGTAGTAATATGAACACTGTGGACTATTCATCCACTCGTCCACTTGTGTGCAACACATTCAGTTCCCTCAGTTGTCCATTTATTCTCTTTCTTCCCGCCCCGCCCCACTAAAAAAAAATGACATGCAAACAAAGTTAAAAGCAGTTACTTCTTGGATTACTTCCAATCTGGAATTCAATGATGGATATGGAATTGGTTAATTAAAATTATGCTGATTCAGCAAGTGACATGTAGTCAATTGCTAATCCATTGTGGGATTTAAAATGAGCCAGGGAGTGTCTTGACACAGTATGTCATCAGAGGATGTCTCACTTTGTGAATATGCTGAAAGGGATGATATGCCCTATGTGAATGGCTAGTCCCAATAAATTAATTGCTTTCCCAATAAATTATCTTATGTAGAAAATGTTGCGCTAACATCCTCGCCCAATGCTAGTTCACAGTTACATAGAATGATATGGCATTGGAAACAGGCCATTTGGCCCAACTAGTCCCTGCCAATGTTTACACTCCACATAAGTCCCCACCCCTCCTGCTCCCTCTCACCTTTATCCCTCTATTTGCTGGATTTAATTTATAATCCTTGCATTTGAATTTGAATTTGGAGTCCTGTAGCTCAGTGGTTAGAGCACTTGCTTTGCAAGCGAGAGACCTGAGTTCAATTCCAGGCAGGTCAGGGCGAAACCTTGGGCAAGTTTCCTTACTCCACACAGAGCCTAATAATAATCCCTCCAAAAAACAAAAACAATGATAAATTGGTCATTTTCAATCTATGACTGTTTGTGGGACATTGCTGTGCGCAATTGGCTGCCGCGTTCGCCCACAAATATACAGTCAACTCACTTTACAGCATATTCTGTGAAGCGCTTTGGGACGTCCTCCCGACGTGAAAAGCGCTATATCAAATGCAAGGATTATTATTATTATTATTATTATTGAAATGAGACTATCCTGGAGTGGTTGTCAACCTAGATTAAAAAGTGTGAATTGTATAAAGTTCCTGCCGGCTATTCTCTTTGTATTGGTGGAGTTATGGACCTTGGTAGTGTGAGTTGATTAGTTTTAGCAGGGTAAGCTCACGCTATATTGTCTAAGTTGGTAATGGTACTCAGTCAGAAAAAAATCATGCTTAAAAATTATTGTCTTTATAAATCTTATTTTGGGATAAATTGTACAATTTGTAATACTTGTCAGAATTAATTTGATGACTGATTTGAATGTGGGGTGATCTACTAATGCTGATGTACTTTACCTGCTAAATACATATAGTGTCTATTATTTTTAAAAACAGCATTAAAATCATACTGTGACTTCAAAGACATTTATTTTGGAAAACTAAAGTTGACTGTAGGAAAGTTACTACTTTAGTTTAGAAGCAACTTAAATACCCATAATTGCACAGTGGGAATTGAAAAAAACATTTACAAAGGAACTCGTTAACAGTGACTGAGTCAGTGGCCAGCCAGCAGTGTCAAGTGTTTATGGACATCCTCCCGACGTGAAAGGCTCCATATAAATATACATTTGTACTGTAAGGGGAAATCATGCTGGTACCAGTCATCGTGTTATGGCAAAATCATTTGAAAGCGAACTTAGAACACTTTGGGAGCAGGGATCCGTTAGTCAGCTGTGACATGCTATCAGTAAGATTCTCCACTAGCAATTCACCACAGCTTTTGGACCTCATTGTATGGTGCATCCATGTTCCCCTCAGCCAGTGCATCAAATAAC